GGGGGGGGGGGTGGAATCTGTGGAGCCCCGGCTGTGATCCTAGGCCCTGGGGGACCCTTTTCTTCTTTTTTTTCTCTTCCAGTTCCTAACCCGGGGCACGGAGGGGGGATCTGTGGAGCCCCAGCTCTGATCCTAGGCCCTGGGGGGTTGGGCCCTGAAAAAGAAATAACATCTGTGGGACCTCTGCCACATGCCAGGCACTCTAAGTTCATAATCACGTTGGATCCACCATTTTACAGGCGAGGAAACGGGAGTGAGGCTCAGGGAAGGCACAGAAGGTACTCAGGGCCAGCCCCACGCTGGTAAGCAGCAGAACTGGAATTTTAATCGCCATCTGTCTCACACCAAAATCCAGCTTCTTTTGCTGCTCAGCATGTGGCCCTATACCATACCTCACTTCAGTTTCATAAAGCCTTTTATGATGTTTCTGTGGCTCAGTGCCTGTACTTGGGTCTCCCAGAAATATCTCTGGACTCGAAATTTAAGTAATGGCGAGAAAGGCTGACATTCACTAGTTCCTGCCTCCAGCTAGCAACAGCAGGTTAAGTCATTTGGGCTAGTTCTCAGAACTGCCGTGGCAGAGCCGGGCAGGGAATCCTGTCTCTCATGTCCCAAGATGCAAAGTACTTAACTCTGATCTTCCTTCGAGGGTTAGTCTTGAGGCAGGGATGCTAATCTCTGAGCACATCTTTTTCAGGTAACATGTGTGGCTTTCACTCTTTTAAACTGGTCCAGAGGGGAACCTCAGAGGGCCTGAGCAAGCCCATGGGAAGGGTGAGGCAGGGGGGTGATGGCACAGGTTGGGGGAGAGTATTTGTGAACTCTGCGACCTCCTGTCTCTGGACATGAAGCTGTAATAAGCCCTGTGGTTCACCGTCTGCACTTTCCCATGTGCTCTCTCCAGGCAGATCCTATGTCTCTCTATCTGCAGGCTTAGCTCATACTGTTTGCTCCATAGGAATATCCTGTCTCTTCCCGACCTCCCCCCTACAACCTCTGGGCCTCATGCCTGTCTGAGGAGACCCATTGCAACTGCCACCCTCTCTGGGAAACCTCAATGGACTGGAATGGATTCATTTCTGAACCCAAATCCAATCATTTAAAATTTTTTTTTTTTTTCAACGTTTATTTATTTTTGGGACAGAGAGAGACAGAGCATGAACGGGGGAGGGGCAGAGAGAGAGGGAGACACAGAATCGGAAACAGGCTCCAGGTTCTGAGCCATCAGCCCAGAGCCTGACGTGGGGCTCGAACTCACAGACCGCGAGATCGTGACCTGGCTGAAGTCGGACGCTTAACCGACTGCGCCACCCAGGCGCCCCTCCAATCATTTATTATATAAAATGTAATGGGCAAATATAAGATTGTTTTGAGAAATTTGTGAAAATACCAAACTTGGGGGATAATACATATTAAGGACACTCTTAATATGTGTAATTCCTGTGGTCAGCAACCCTACAGTGCTTGATTTTATTTTTAGAGAACAAATCTTTTCTACCTAAGTGCATCTGAAATGTTTTTTTTTAATGTTTATTCATTTATTTTGAGAGAGAGTGTGTGTGTGTGAGCTTGTGCATGGGGTGAGGAGGGGCAGAGAGAAAGAGAGAGAGAGAGAGGGAGGGAGAGAGGGAATCCCAAGCAGGTTCTGTGCTGTCAGCGCAGAGCCTGAAGCAAGGCTCAATCCCACGAACTGTGAGATCATGACCTGAGCCAAAATCAGGAGTTGGACGCTCAACCGACAGCCACCCTGGTGCTCCTGAAATGGGTTTAATCTCTCTAGTAGAATGCAGGCTATTTGAGCATTTGCATGGTCAAAATCTGATGTCAGATAGCCTATTTTTTGATATGCTGGTGACCTTGGGTAAGTCACTTCCCATATCTGTGCCTCTCTTCCATCATCTGTGAAACAGGGATACTTATACTATGTTGTTAGGTTTCTTTGGGGGGGATATCATGGGGTAATAATAATTGCTACCATTTATTGAGTGTTTACTATGTGCCCAGCACTGTGCTAAGCTTAGCTCTACATTTTTATTTGATCCTCCCAAGAGCTCCCTCAGTTTTGAAGTCCTTTACCCTACAATATTTTCTTCCCCAATAGCACTTACCTTCTTTACATTGTAGTATAATTTACTCATTTTGTTTATTCATCTTCCCCTTCCCGGGCCTCTTGCCTCGTGTGACTCCAGGAGGCACCATTCACAGTGCATTCTGGGTTCTACCATTACTGAGAATATTAACGTGAGTGGTGGGGATTTCCCAGAGTTGTGTCAAGTAGAGACCCTGGAACTGCTCCAGGAGGACAGGGATTTTTTTTTTTTTTTTTTTTTAATGTCTGTGCCTATTTTGACTCTTGCTGTATCCCTGTATCCAGAATAATGCCTGACCTATGGTAAGCTTTCAATAAATATTTGTTGAAAGAATGAATTAAAGAGCCCTAAAGAGAGCCCATTTCATTGGTGAGGAAACTGAGGCTCAATGAGTTATTGATTTGGCTGAAGCTCTAAGAGACAGTGAAGCAGCTGGGTGTTTCTAGCATGCCTGCTCTCAACAGCTTTGCAAAGCTGCATGTCTGAAATGCCTGGCATTGTCCCTGCCACCCCGCAATTGCTCAACAAATATTAATGAGCTTGCCTACATGGGTCAGCCTCTCCCCTCTGCGAGACAATCCCTACAGAGTAACAAACTGTCACATAGCCATTGCTTTGAGAAATTAAACTGCATGGTGCAAAGAAAAGGTGAGACTTTTGAAGTTTTTGGAAGAAAAAATCCTAACACGATTGCTAATGGAGTTTGCAGGGGCCTCTCAGGCCTTTCCAACCCGATTCTTTTTCCTGCTGCCTTCCCTTTTGTGAGCATTTCTTCCCCTTTCTGCTTGCAATGAGTTCTGCTCTCCTGTAGGCTACAATGTGTCAGTTGTTATAAAATCCGGGAGGTGGAGCTTGGTGACGAGGTGGGTGGGGGAGTGCTCAGCCAGCCCTGCAGGGCGAGCAGTCCAGCCGTGGTTCACCGGAGCTTAAGCCTTGCAGCAGGAGAACTTCCATCTCGCTCTTCTGGCTTTGATCCTCACTGTACATCAGACCAGAGGCGCCGAAGGGAGGGACGATGCGAGATGACCGGCCCTCTGGCAACCTGACCATCTCCTTAGCAGAGCCTTCGAAAGCCAGCCGGAGACTGACTGCACAAGCAAGGAGGCGCCGCGCCTCTGTGGATGTGTGTGTGTATGTGTGTGTGTGTGTGGGTGGGTGGGTGAGCGGGTGTGAGTGAGTGAGAGTGTGTGTGTGTATGTGTGCGTGTGCATCACGACTGTGTGTGTGTCGGTTGAGTGTGAGAGTGCACGCGTGAGTGTGTTTGTGTGCATGTGTGTGTGATTGCTCTCAGTTATTATTTTTGTGGAAGAAAAATCTTGAAAATCTGGGGCAGGTTACTGTGCTCCTAGGGGTGGTAGTTCTTCTTTTGCAAGAGGAGCTGACCAGACCAAGCTACTAGAGACATTTTTTCGGCAAGTAAAGAGAATTTTCCTCCCAGAACGAGAGGCATTTTTCTCCCCCCTGGCTCTGCAGCCGAGTAAAAGAGATTAGTCCCTAAACCCTGTGAAATCGACTAGAGCCGAGTGATTACCAGGGCTTGAGAGAGGACTGGGGAAGAAAAAGAGAAATAAATCAAACAGCCTGTCAGTGCCTTTGGCCACGTTGGAAGATGTCATCTCAAACTAAGTTCAAGAAAGACAAAGAGATCATTGCTGAATATGAAGCCCAAATAAAAGGTGAGATGCGGGCTGGGGAGTCATGCTTCCCCTCCCCTTTCCTTTTTTCTCTTGCTCTGGCTTTCTTTTACCCTTTTTCCTCCCTGCCATCACGAAATGTTGTTATGCATCAATAATCTTATTGTGAGTAGGAACAGTGGCAGCCGCACAAGTCCAGACTGGTTTCAACTGCAGAGAGCCCTGGCTCTGGGAGTGTGGATTATAGAATGGGCAGCAATCACTGCATTGCAGGTGTGTGAGGAGGATCCTACGCCCGGCTTTAGGAGTGTCGTGGATACTCCATCATCTTGGCCGTGACATGTCACTCTAAGGCCATTTTGACAGTCACTGCCTCTTCCCCCCTCCCATGCTGAAAGCCCCTTAATGTGATTTTTTTACTATCTGCTTTTATTTTTCTTTCTTCTTTTTGGTATCTTGTTGCTTTCCCTTGCCCCTTTCTCTGGGCTGGAATTCACATGCATGTGCACACAGAAGCAGCATCCCTGGGTTGCACTTCTTTGTCAGTGTCTCTCGGCTGGCCTGGGTTGCCATGGATTAACTGTTATGGGGCATATTGATCCAAACTAATGCAGGCATTTAGGCATAAAGAGGGAGCTCGGTGCAGAAAATGTATTCTCTCGCAGTGTGCAGCCCCAATCACCGCCCGTCTGCCTGCTAGCGTGTAGGGTCATCAGCCTTCATTCAAAGCCAACAGCTTAGTGTGCCGTTTCGGCTGGTAGGAGCTGCCTGGCTTCCGTAGCACCAGAGGAAGCCTGCCAGCAGGGTGGGATGACCTCTGGCTGCCTGTTCCAGCTTTGGGGCCATGGGGTGCACGCTCCTCTCAGAAACTACTCCCTAAATCCGCACCAGCAAGGCGAAATAGGGAACCGGACACAGTCGCATAGACAAATGCAGGCAGAATCCTGGTTCACGCCAGAGGGGGTTCTCCCACCTTCATGAGTTCTAGACTCAGTTTTGGCAAGGAAAATCTAAAAGCTCCATACTCACCCTTTCTCCGAGGACAGACCCTGAGGGAAGCCTGGGCCTGCATCTCTTAGTGTCTGTTTTCTCTCTGGTCCTGGATCTCCTTGCTGCGACACAGGGTGTGTTTGTGGTCTCCCACAGAAACACTAAAGACAAAATACATCTTCAATGGATACTGACGCTTGCTCTTGAGATTGTGGGTGGACTGTTTGAGCAAGTTGATTATTTGGGGCTCAGGTGACCTGAGGCTGCCCCACCTGCTTTTAGGTGCTTCTGCAGCTCCAGACTCAGTGACCCAGGAAGTCTCCCCGGGAGCGGCAGGGGCCCGACATCCACAGCTGCTGCACACGCTCCCGATGCTTGGGAACCTTTGGGAGGGGAGCGGCCAACAGGGGAGGGCTTTGTTTTTTTTTTTTTTCCAGTCTCCCAACCCTCTTGTGTCTTCTAGTCCTGGTCAGACCCGGCAAGCTAATCACCTCTGGGGGTAGACCCCAGGGCAAAGGGAGCTGAAAATGTTCTCTAGGTTTCAGCTCAGTGTGGCAAACTGACTTAGGATGTTTCAGCCTTGCTGAAAATTTAGTCACAGGCCCTTTACTGGTCAGAGATTTGAACTCACCGGCTGCATCAATACAAAAGCCCAGTTTCGGCCTTTGCATACACACTTTTTAGGGAGTTTATGTTTTATAAGATGAATTTGGCTGAGTATTATAGTTCTTTTTAACTGAGGTTCTCATGAAAAATGCCATACTAGAGAAGCGAATGCTGAGTTTTGGACAGTTTGGGGTTTTTGTTAGCATTGTCTTGGTAGGAAATAACGCTCGTCTTGTTTTTGGATCACTGCCACAGGGCCCGTGAACTTGGCTTGAGGATCAATGAAGCATTTATTGCTCTGGCTGATTCTTTTACTTTTTTACCTTTCACCTTTATTTTAACAACTACTTAGCAAGTCCAAGGTCATGCATTTCCGGCAGGAAATTTGTCCAGATGATCTTGTCTCTTCCAGACCCTAAGGGTCTCTACATTCTGGTTAAAGGAGTTGAATTTTATTCCTTTAGAATTGACACCCACACGACTTAGGCCAGGACGTTGCTGTGCCTGAAACCGTCTGGAATCTTTTCCCTTCAAAATTCTGTTTGTTAATCATCATCATAGTTCCTGATGATGTACGCACAGGGCTCTACAGTTTCTCTGTCTGGCTCACTCCCAAACATCACTACTCTTGGCCTACACAATGTACGGAAAGTGTTTGTATGAATGAGCTCAGCTTTAGAGATGAGGAAACTGAGGCCTTGTCAGGTTGAGTGACGTGCCCAAGGTCACAAGGCCAGAAATGTGAAGGTAGCTGGTCTTCTTTCCCATTGCATTGTTTGCCTGAGGCTGGCCCTTGAAGGATTGATGTCAGTGGCAGATGGCGGTTTTGTGGTGGGGACTGGCTGTCTCTTGATCGTTCCATTGTTTACCCTCTTACTTTTATCCCTTGCCTTTGTTGCTTGCCTCTGAAGAATGTTTGACCAATCACCAAAAATAACGCCTGAAGCCTGTTTCCTTTCTCCCTGGGTATCATTTGACCAGTTTGGTGCAAACCCTTCGCCTACTTAGATAGATTTGGTCCTCTGTGAATTTAGTGAGGGGCATTTTTGGTTTTTAAAAATGATACTGAGTTCTTTGTTGACTTACTCTCTTTTATCTCTTTTTGAAGAATTTATTGACCTGAGGAGAATGTTTTAACACTATTTTTTTTCCCTATTGTAAAAGAAATATCAGATCCATGCCTTCTCTTGCCTCATCAGTTACCTGAATCCCTTTGATTATATATTTGCAATGCAGTAGTATACCATGTGCTTGTACATGTCCAGTGATGGGGAACTCATCACCTCCCAAGTCCACATATTCTACCTTTAATAGCCCTGGCTGCTGTAAGTGGTTTTTATATTCATCTATTGGTTCTATAGTATCTTCTCCTTGGGGGTTCATAGAACAAGATAGATGCTTCTTCCCTATGACTGCCCATTGGATGTTAGAGACTCTGATCATAGCCCCACTATGATTATCCTCATTTACTCACATAAGATGCTTATCTGCTGCTTAATCATCTTCACTTTCCTTTGGATTTACTGTATCCTGGTTACAAACTCCCAAGTGCCTTTGGGTGCTTGACAGATACAATAAATGAGTGAAGCTGCCAAGTAAGATGATTTGTGATAGTTGGTCTACCATCTCCGTGAGGGCAGTAGATGAAAGGGTGATGGTGGTTATGGTGCCCTTGAGAGCACTGTCTAGATGAGAGCTTTATGCTTTTATTTTACTTTATTTATTTATTTAAAACATTTTTTAAATGTCTTATTATTTATTTTTGAGAGAGAGAGAGAGCATGAACAGGGAGGGGCAGAGAGAGAGAGAGGGAGAGACACAGATCTGAAGCAGGCTCCAGGCTCTGAGCTGTCAGCACAGAGCCCGACTTGGGGCTTGAACTCAGGAACTGTGAGATCATGACCTGAGCTGAAGTCAGACGCTTAACTGACTGAGCCACCCAGGTACCCCCTTTAAGAGTGTTTCTAAGTCCTAGGGGCGCCTGGGTGGCTCAGTCTGTTAAGTGTCCCACTTCAGCCTCGGTCATGATCTTGCTGTTACTGAGTTCGAGCCCCATGTCAGACTCTGTGCTGACAGCTCAGAGCCTGGAGCCTGTTTCAGATCCTGTGTGTGTCTCTCTCTCTGCCCCTCCCCCACTTGTTCTCTCTCTGTCTGTCTCTCTCTCAAAAATAAACAGTAAAAAAAAAAAAAGAAAAACGAGTGTTTCTCAGTTCTATATGAGAGGCTTTTGATGTGATCAGAGAAAGAAACACAACTATCACCTCCTTTATGCTGCATGTATTGCTTCTATTAATATAGCCCAAGGATTGAATTAGTCCTTTTCACTGCCCACCCCTTCACTGTACCATATTTATTTTACATGCTATATTTCTCCAATCCACTAAGTTATTAGGATCTTTGTCAGAGAGAAGAAAATGAAATGAATTTCATATGAGTTGTTCTTGGTGACCCTGTGCTGGCCCCAGATGGACTCTATTTCCTGTCTGAGGTGCTTGCAAGTGTCCCTTTATGAATCTGTTCAAGCACTTTGCTTGAGAGTGACATCACATTCTCTAGTCTGGAAATGGCAAGCTCTAACTTCTTCCCCTTTTGAAAATCAGAACAACATTTGCCCATCTCCAGCATTTTGGCACTTATCCTGTTTTTCACAGTTCCCTCAAAGATCACCGATAGTGTTTGGTAATCTTATTTGCCAGAGTTCTCAGTGCCCTGGGCTCTCATTCATCTTGCTGTCACACATAATGATCTATTCTGCATTTATCTAGAGTTCCCATTTCCATTTCAACCTAATAGAAAATTGAAATAGAAACACAGTGATTGACTTTAGTGTTTTGTTTTGGTTTTTAATTATACATCCATAGTCATTTAGGCCATCTTCTTAATAGCAAAAGTCTAGAATTTGGGGGAAGAAGGGCAGATTTTGAAGAAGATCACAGAGAAGTGTTTATTTACTCATTCATTTATGTATTCATTCAGTAAACATTGATTATCTACTTTCTTCTTAGTCTTGTGCTGGGTGTTGTGAGAGATGCAGAGTATATGATATATTCTTGGCTTTCTAAGAGTTTTCTTGAAATATGGTGATAAAATCGGTGAAGGAAATGGAAAAAACAAAAACAGAAACTCAGAACACAAAAACTCCCAATTGAGCACCAGAATGAGTTTAGTCTTTATTTTTTTTTCTAGTGTTTATTTACTTTTGAGAGAGAGAGAGAGAGAGAGAGAGAGAGAGAGAGAGAGCAAGCATAAGCGGGGGAGGGGCAGAGAGGGACAGAAACACAGAATCCCAAGCTTGCTCCAGGCTCTGAGCTGTCAACACAGAGCCCAATGAGGGCTTGAACTCACGAACCAAGAGATCATGACCTGAGCCGAAGTCAGATGATTAACTGACTGAGCCACCCAGCCGCCCCGAGAATGAGTTTAGTCTTTTTAAAAAAAAATTTTTT